GGGGGGGGGGGGGGGGGGGGGGGGGATTCCCAGCCCCACATAGCAACAAGCAAAGCACAAAAGCATAAGAAAACCCAAACACCCTCCATCCTGCACTGCAAGCTGGTGATTGCAAACCCAGCTCCACACACCCTAACTAGATAGCCAGAGATCCTCTTTCTGTCATCCTATCCACTCCGTGAACTATCCCGGTTCTCTTTTCTTTTGTATCTAATCGTGGTGCTCTGATTAATTCTGCTGCTTTTGAATATGAGCCTTTCCAATTTCCACCTGCTCTGGACCGCACAGTTCCCCTGATCCACGCAGGGTGGAGCGGAGGCATGTGCTCCTGTCTATTTCACTGCTCTAACAGTGAAGAAGTTTGTGCTGGTATCCAATCTAAACCTACTCTAAAAGCAATTTCAAGTCACTGCTCCGTGTCCTACGCTGCTGCAACAGAGAAACAGTGCTCTCTCTCTTCTTTATGGTAGCTCTTCAGATAATCTGAACACTACTATCATGTCCCCCTCTTAATTGCCTTTTCTGCAAGCTCAACATGCCTATTTCTTTCAACCTCTTTTCATATGATTTGCCTTCCAAGCCCTTCACTGTTTTTGTTCCCTGCCTTTCTTTGGACCCATGTCTCCACTGAGAACCATAAAATTCTGTGCTGGGCAAGCAACTGCATGCTTCTGCCCTTAAGGACCTTAGCAATAAAGGGCAAATCTAACAAAGATCCTCCCAGAAGATCCTTTAATCAAGTTTCTCAGTCAGCTACTAACAGACTCCAGCTCCTGTAAAGATACCACTGTGTGATGGTGGACGAGGGTCAAATAAATCTGTTGTTCCAATTCTACATCCATTCTTTCGAGCCACAGACTTGGCATTTACAAGCCAAATTACCACTTCACTGGGCAATTCAGTTAGGGAAGGGATTACAGCACAAATTCAGCTCCCACATTTCTGGGATTAAACTGAAATTCTAACTGTAATAGTTTTAAGTCTATCAGACTCTGCCTACTACCAGTTAAAACAGGACTTCATCATTTTGGCCCATGGGACACATGAAATATTTCACACTAACTGAAACATACACTACTCCTTTTGATTTGTTTCTATAATGGCAAATTTGCCAATCAAGTTGAAAGTGAGTACTATCTAAAATACAGGATTCCAAGATGTTGCATGTGAGCTTCATGCTCAATCAAGTCACTTCATCTTTTTAGGAGGCAGTAAGTGAGGTAAAGTTTGGGAAACGCTGCTTTAAAACCTGGATTGCAAAGGGAAGTATGTCAAAGTAGCTTAGGGACACAGACTATAGCAGAGGATCAATACACAACAAAGTGAACTCCAGATTCACTTGACACACTGAAGGACGGCTCCTCTGTGCCCTGGTAAAGTGTCAGACATCCTAGTGGAAGCCACCCAGCTTTCTTCGTGATTCCTGTTTTGACTCCTATAACTGAAGACTGCAGGAAAAGCTTACAGGTGAGGACTGACCCACCAGTCGAAATACTTCTTCAAAACACTTTACAAGTTTCAAGCAGATGCTCTGACCTATTCCCAGCATAACAAACTGGTAGTGACTAGATAAACAAAGAACTGAAGCTCCCAAGACAAGGAACGATGCAAGGGGCAAAATAATATGACATACACAAAAGAATGAAAGAAAATACAAAAGAATGTTAAATAATAGAAAGAGTTGAAAGAAGACAGACTGAAAAACTCCACCCCACCCCCTTTCTCCTCCCACAAAAAAATCTCATAGTGGACAAATTATGAGAAAACTGCAACACCCCATTCTTGATTGGTGCATCAGCATGTTACTGTAATAAAAAGAAACATTACCAAATTATATACTATAAGTTCAGTTTTAAATTAGGCTTCATTTCTCCATAAATACTTCAATAAGATCATTTGGGGGGTAGGAGGATAAGGAGGAACTGTTCACACAAACAGCACCAAAATAAAGCAAGATGCTTTTGTTTGTTTATAATTCATGGCTTAGCTCTGTCTTATGACTGTTTAGATCCGTGTTTCTGAAAAAAAACACACACCTGCAATTGTTTTCCATCTTGCTGCGAAGCAATATAGTTGACTTGCTGGGATGGTGGAGGAGGAGGTGGAGGTGGTGGTAATCCCTGAGTTACACTGGTAGGCGGAGCTACCTGTATGAGAGGCACTCCTGCATGGAGATGCAATGGTATTGGAGGACGAATATTAAATGGATTGTGTTGGATATTCATCATAGGTGGAGGAACACTGACTGGATATGGGAAGATATTCATAGGCTGGTGTTGTGCATTCACTTGTGGCATGACATTCATTTGTTGCTGCATCATATTTACTGGTAGCTGAGACCCTTCCCCTTGTTGGTTTGTTTGGTCTTTGAGGTTTGGATCTATCAAACAAGAAAACACAGTATTTAAAGTAAAAAATCCGTGTTTCGAACACACTAACACCAAGATCGTACGCCACCTCTGAGAGTAAATCTAGGTGCCACTTAGGTGGCTTTTAGACATTTAAGTCACAACCATGGACCCATTCACCAGCCACAAAACCACCAAGGTATCTAGGTTCCTTATACTCCTGTATTTTGACCTAGAAAGATCTCTATAGCTGTAAACGGATGTCTCCCAGGAGGAAAGTGTTTGTCCTGGGATCCTATAGATGGTCACACCCATTGTCTAACTTCAAGTACCTGTGAAATGTATTAAAAAGGGTTTTTCCAAGCACTGTGTGCATCCAGGTTAACTGCAGCTGATTTAAATTAACTGCAAATCATTCTAGGAACAAGCCTATCAGTACATGTGCTCTCTCTTGCCACCTACTGGCAGAAGAATAATGCAGTTTGGAAGGGCTACGCATGTAAAGGGCTGTGACACTCCTGTTTTGATCCAAATCAAAACCCAGGACAACCAGAATCACCACAAATGAGATGACTGCTTACAGCTCAGGCAACTGGTCTCTAGTAGTGCTCACACTCAGAAGCAATCTGACACTACCTAGGCCCCTACCTCCCAGTTTGATCTTGCTATTTGAAAAAGTGCAAGACTGCATAAGTCCCCAAATCTTACCAGAAAAACACACTGTGACTGTTTGGCAGCATGGGCAGAATAATGCATAAATGGCCATGGGAGCAGGAAACTGGAGCCAGAACCCAAGGCTCTCCTCTCCCCTTCTGCGGACCACAGCAAGGCCCCCTTAATTTTCCCCTGGCCCCATGAATCTTTCACTCTTGGCTGCCTAGAAGTAGAGGGTGGTGGGTTCAACCCCATTTAGGCTGTACAGGGCCTGGAACCCAGGAAGAACACTTTCCAAGTGAACGCCTTAAGTTAGGCTGTTGGGCAAAAGATGGTCACCATCTCCCCTTTACTTCACAAGTGATGCTCTAATAATATAGCTCAGTATGCTGTTGAGCTTTTTCATAAGAGCACACTTGGCTCATACTCAGCTTATGAAAAAACACAGTGGACTGGTAACTCTGCAACACAACTCTTATGCCTAAATGCTTTTACAATGATACAATGAGCTAAATCTCCGTAAATTTACCACCAAATGAAACAAGCGTTCTCTACTGAATATTCTCTATAGCATGAATATGACTACCAATATTTTTAGAGGAACACATGAGCGTTAAACCTTTTAAACTTTTTGTGCCATCAGGTCAACTAATTACCAATTCTTAAACCTAATGCATGCATTTTCAAAGGAAATGTAAGATCTCTCTGAAGAAATAACCTTAATTAAAAAAAAAGGAAAGAGAAACTGAATGAAACTACTTCTCGTCTGATCACACTTTACCAGTTTACAAGTGCATCAGTTAAAGAAGCAAAAGAATATATATTTTAAAGGGTATATTTGGTTGCATTGTAATCCCAAGGGCCAGAAATTTAATTCTTAATTTACTGAATGGTCAGACAGAAGCATTTTTTTGGTATAGAGGCAGGGTCAAAATTAACAAGGATATTTCCCAGTCATCTGTTGTGACATTCTTATGAGTTACATTTTATGGACAAAACAGTAAAAAAGTCAAAAAAAATTTCCCTATATAAATCCCTAGATCTAAAAAAAAAAAAAATACCTTGCTCAGAAGTCTCTTCTTCCTGCCTCATCCATCCAGACTGTGGACTGGAGGAACTTCGTCCTCTTCTTGAATAATAGTTCTGCACGTCCGCAGGTAAAGTCTTCCTTACAGCCCAACTAGATGCAGATGTCCACCCAGATCTATCAGCAGGCGTATCAAAAGAAAAATCCTGTTCGTTTTTACGCCTGTATGGTTGATGTTCTGGGAACCTGACAGTTTCATTCCCAGAACCATTTGAATTCCCTGAGAGGGGTTTTCTATTTTGCCAATGATTTTCGTTTCGGTCTCCATACATGAAACCACCTCTGCCTCGGCCACCTCTGCCTCGGCCACCTCTGCCACGATTTGAAATCCAACCTGAACCAAAATTTTTATTCCAAGAATATCCTGAATTATCACATCTGTTGTCTTCCCACTGTGGATCTTTAAAAGTTTCTCTCTCTCTGCTCCTAGTTTCAGGAACAGAATTTATTCTTTCCATTACCCAGTCTGGATAATCGTTCCCATACTTGTCAGACAAACAATGGTCATTAGAATCTTTGTCTATATTGTCCTTTTCTTTTTTCATATTTTCATTTTGTTTCTCTTGTTCACCTCTTTTGTACCTATCATTTCCCCTTGGACTTTTCCAGCTGTCATTGCTCCATTTCTCCTTCCACCGAGGTGAGTGACCACCTCTCTCATTCCTAGCATAGGAAGGACCCATATTTCTTGTTCGAGATCGGGATCTTGACCTGGATCGAGATCGGGATCTTGACCATCTCCTACTTCTTCTGTCTCTGTCACGTTCTCTTCTTTGGCTATCTCTGTCATTATCTCTATCTTTGCTTTGAGACCTAGATTTTTGCCTTGGAGAGAAATCTTTAACTCTTGATCGAGAAGGAGATCTTCTGCTCTCCCTGACAGTCTCCCTTTTGGGAGATCGTGAAGGTGTTCTTTTGCCCTCCCACTCAGTCTCCCTTTTGGGTGAACGAGACCACCTGCCCTCCCTGTCAGTCTCCCTTTTTGGTGAATGAGACCGCCTGCCCTCCCTGTCAGTCTCCTTCTTGGGTGAAGGAGACCGCCTGCCCTCCCTGTCAGTCTCCTTCTTGGGTGAGCGAGACCGCCTGCCCTCCCTGTCGATCTCCTTCTTGGGTGAGCGAGACCGCCTGCCCTCCCTGTCGATCTCCTTCTTGGGTGAGCGAGACCGCCTGCCCTCCCTGTCGATCTCCTTCTTGGGTGAGCGAGACCGCCTGCCCTCCCTGTCGATCTCCTTGGGTGAGCGAGACCGTTCACCTTCTTTGATAGTCTCCCTTTTGGGTGATGGAGATTGAGATTTCCTGCCCCCCTTCCTTGAAGGAGACCAGGTTGTTGATGGAGAGTGAAATCTAGACCGTCTGGTGCGAGTCTTTTTATCTTTTTTAAATTCTGTTGGATACTCTGTTTCAGGTAAACTACTTTCACCTTTTTTGTCAGAAAGTAATGTACAATTTTCAGTCTCTTGAGATAAGGCATTTGCCTCCACTGGTTTTACACAATTAAGTGATGGTGACTGTTCGATATGAGATTCAGCCTGATCACTACAAAATGAATCACATTCCATTGGTATAATTTCATTGTTATCTTCATTAAAATGTGTATTAGATTGTTCATTAATTATCTTGGATGATTCTCCAATTCTGACTTCTTCATTTACAGGCATGCTCTCCTCTTTAAAGGACTGGTCCAATTTGTTAACATCTTGAATAGCAGTTATTAAGACATCTGTTAAAGCATCTTGAACAGGTGAGTTCTGAACTGTTGCACTTTTATCATTTGAATTTTTTTCTTTACCCTCACAACCATCCAAGTCTACAGAGTCAGTTGGATCAGACAGTTTGTTTCTTGGGCTATCAAATGATTTATTATCATTTTCCACTAATTCTGGGTACTCCAACAGTTTGTCTCTGGGACTATCTAGTGGCTGATATGCTTCTGTCAAAGTTTCTGTATTTTCCAATAATTCATCCTGGGGCATAAATGTTTGATCTATTTTTTTAAGTGTTACTGAATGTTCCAATAATTCATTTCTGGGACTATTCATTGTATTCACTGTATCAAACGTATTTTCACAGACATCCTCATTCTCAAAATCTGCAATGTTTTCATCGCCACTTTTTATTTCAACTTTCTGACTCTCTTCTTGTAAAGCAGGAGGTTCTTGGGTACAAGAACCTGAGTCTGCATTTTCTAAAATACCCTGTTCTTGAGCATAATCTTTTGCAATTTCCTCGTTTTCTACATGTTCACTACAGCTTTCCAAGCCATTAGCAGACTCTGTTTCTGCATTACTTTTGTGCAGAAGGCTTTCATTATCTGACCGGTGATCTTGATCCAACACAGGAGATGCATCAGACTCAGCAGCTTCATCATCTTCCACTGAATCACTAGATGATTTTTCTGTGCGTACAGAACTTCTAAGTTTTTTTTTAACTACAGGTGCCTGCTGTTTAACTCCTCTTTTAGATTTTCGTTTTGGAAGTGGTTTTTCTTCTGCTGCTGCAGGAGAAACTTTCAGAGACGAGTCATCATCATCAGGGGCACTCCATCTAGAATTACTTGATCTCGGTGAACTTCGAGATTGACTCATAGCCTCATTCTTGCTATTCCTTGCAGATCTTCTTCTTGGAGTAGTATTTGTAGGCTTCTTCCTAGTTCCTCTAGTGCCAGATGTGCCGGAAGCTTGCTTTTTCTCTTCTCCTCCTTGTGTATGTGCAACAGCATACCCTTTACCTGAGGATTCTAACATAACAAATAAACATTAAAATCCAATAAATATGCCAGCTAAGCTTAACATGACATTCTAACATTTAAGGAAGAATAGATAGCCTTCTGTAGTTTTATCCTTGATGGCTCAAATAGCTAAGTCTATCATTTTAGCCAATGCATGTTTTTTCTTCAAAAGCACAGAATGGCAAAAAATGCTAGGAGTAAGGCATATTTGCAAACGCATAATGCAAAGTTCAAAACTACTGCAAGATGCATATTTAAAAATTACTATCAATGTATTATCTCAGGAAAAGTGTACCAACTGTATCACTCCTACCAAAATCTGATTTGGACAATGCAAATTTACCTTTCCACATTACACACAAGACCCTCCCTGAGTGCTCCACGATCAACTGAATATAAACTCAGTTGCAAGCTCTGTGACTTGAGGCCACTCCAGTAACTGATTGTGGTGAAAGTAAGTAATACCAGGAGCACAGGACCTCTTTTGATGGTTTGATATTGTGCTAATTTGTACAGCTCATAATTCAGTTTTCAATGTGCCAAAGATTTTTGTACAAGTGTTATTAAAAAAAATTGTCATAGTGAAGCTAGAGGTTTTTACAGCTGGAAAGAGAACAGTTGGGACTTTTTGCATCTGGGAAAGCATATAATCTGGTACAGGATTATAAACCAGCAAATTAGCTGCTTTTGTTAAAATGACTGGCAATGCAGTAGTTAACAATACTGACATTTAAATTGGGTTACAGTTTCAAAGCTAATATCCCAAGGCAATTAAAGACACATCACAGTCATTAAAATCAGTGTTTCGGGCTGTATCCAGATTTAGAAAAAGAACATTAGTTTATATTTTAATTCAAACTTTAATGTTATATTTTCAATCATAGGGGCTAGAACTCAATTCTCTTTTAAGAGCGGGATTCTGCAGGAGATTGCATTGTCACAGAATGACAGACTATATGGTACCATGCTTACAAAGTCACAATTCCAAGTCTTAATAGGAAGCTACTGAATTCTTATTCTTATATTTCCCATGATTTTACACTGTGAAACGTTTCAGCTTAATAGATTTCTGAATTCACCAAAAGGGGAATAAACAACATAACAAGTGTTTAAGAGACCTAAAGCCTCATCTGCTACTCTGCTAATAGAATACATTGCCTACTAAGTAGTGGCATGTCATTTGAGGACAGGTTATAAAAGGTATGTTGCAAAATGGTTCATGATCTATGAATCTGGAAGGGCAGAAAAGGGAACACTGTAATTATTTAGCCCAGGGGCCTACAAAATATGGCCTGTGGGTTAGATCCGGCTTGACAGGTGATTTCATCTGGCCCACGGATGGGTGCCCAACAATTAATTGTATCCCACATGTGGCTGCCCCTGCTGCACTCCATGTGGGACTGAGCCCCACCTACTCCTGGCAGGGCAGCAGTCTGTGCTCCCACATTTGCTCACAGGAGGACCCTAAACCTTGGTCAGTGTATGCAGCTGGGCAGGGCTGCTACAGCTACCCACGGAACTGCTTGGCTCCCTTGGCCCCTCCTCCTGTCCCTGCTACAGCACTCTAGGCAGCAGGTAAGGAAGCAGCAGTGGGCATAAGGTAAGATGCAGCTGAGCAGGAGTGCAGGACCAGTGATGGCAGGAGTGGGCTAGGGCTGGAGCAGGATGGAGGGAGTGCAGGGCCAGGGCTGGTGGGAGCACGGAGCCTGGAGTGCAGGGCCAGAGTCAACTCCATCGTGCGAGACTCCCCACGGCTCACATGCAGCTCCTGAGACTTAGCTGGGAGCTGTGCGTGATGGAGCCAGAGGTCTAGTTCCACTCCCTGCTGCCACGTGCAGCTCCTGGAATTCAGACAGGAGCAGCGGGGAGCCCCACATGATGGATCTAGTGGCCTGGCCCCTCTCCCTTCCACCATGTGCAACTTCCAGGATTTGGCCAGAGCCACATACCACCAGGGGGCTGTGCCTGCTACCAGCTGCTGTCAGTGGACTGTGCACCATGGGGGGGTGGGGGGGAAGAGGGAAAGTGTGTAGGGGCCCCCCCAACATGCACACCCCACCATACCCACACACATGCACACACTCCCCAACCACACCCCACAAACAGTATACAAGAGTAAGACTTGATTTTGAGCTATTATACAAATCACCTCTATATATACTACACAAACACACAAAAATCAGGATGAAAATATTTTTTGAAACAAAACATGCTGTAGTAGAGGTTTGATTTTCAGTACATAATTTGGGTTTTTTTTCCAGTTCCAAGATGGCAACTCTGCCACTTCCCCCACAAAAGGAGCACTTCTGGAAGAGACTTCCAGTGGCACCGGGCAGGAGTTAGAGATGGGACTTCTGGTCCCAAGATGGCAACCAAGGGGTGGGGCACCTGTCAAGGAATAACAGTCACAAGCTGGAAGAGGGTAGATTTAGGCTAGATATCAGGAGGCGCTACTTCACCGTCAGGGCGGCTAGGATCTGGAACCAACTTCCAAGAGAAGTGGTGCTGGCTCCTACCCTGGGGGTCTTTAAGAGGAGGTTAGATGTACACCTTGCTGGGGTCGTTTGACCCCAGTACTCTTTCCTGCCATGGCAGGGGGTCGGACTAGATGATCTACTCAGGTCCCTTCTGACCCTAGAAACTATGAAACTATAAGGGGTGAGGCTACCCTTGTGGCCTTTGACAGCTCACCAAAACTCATTAAGCAGCCCTCCAGCCAAAATAATTGCCCATCTGTTTTAGCCGGATCCCACCCCCAGGATAAAGTAGGCCATAGGATTTTAAAACTGAACTAGAAGGTGTCTTCTATAAAAATATCCAATCTTGGTTTAAACACTGTGATGGAGAATCCAATGCAACTGGTGTTGAGAAAAATAGAATTTCTATAAAAGATTCTGTATTTGAGACAACAAAAGAACTAAAGGGGGTTTGAAGGAATGCCAGGTAAGCAAAGGAGTTTGAAATGACATTACTCTGTGAGCACAGCCCTTGACATCCTATGGAGGTAATCTTATGTTGATCAACCAACTATGTAGTCTCAAACATCTGAAATTCAAAGCAAACTTAATCAGCTCTTTAAACCTGCTATAACTACAGTCAAATGACCTGAAAGGTGAAGCCAGAGATTTCAACCATTCACTTCTATCCACAGATCGTGAACTTTAGCAACTGACCTTCTTTCAGAAAATATTTGCAAGGTATCTGAAAGAAAATCAGGATTAGGATTCATAAGGGAAAGGCAGAAATGACAATCCATGTCACACTTCCAAAATCCATCAGTGAGGAGAAAACACTTTGACATATGAAATATTTCTTACTACAATATAAACAGCAAAAAATTACAGAAGAGAGTAATTTTTTTTTTTTTTTTTTTAAATAAAAGTTCTAATTGCACCAAAAAGCACAGGCTGACTACCCAAACCAGAGTGTAATACAGGGTATTTTGTCTCAGAATCAACAGGGAAAACAGAGTTGAGGTAGGCAGTACAATTATACAAACACTACCTAAACTCTTCAACGTGGTAACTGAAGTCTTTCAAAATCCTCCTCCGTAAGAATAATTCATTTAAGAATAAAAGCTGGCTTCTCACAGATTACATTCTGAAACCTTCTGGGTTAAGTTGTGGGGGGAGGGTTCAGCAAGAGAGACCTAACTGTAGGTGTATACTACAGACCACCAAACTAAGAGAAGGAACTTGATCTGGAGTTCACCCAAGAATTGACTGAGGCCGCATGTGAACATGACATGGTTGTCAAGGGTAATTTTAATTATCCAGACATCTCCTGGGAAGAACACTTGGCCAAGTTGGACCGGCTGTAAACCTTCCTGACCTGTGTCAAGGAGCTCTTCCTGATTCAGGAGGCGCATGAGCCAACCAGAGGTGACACTCTGCTGGACTTGTTCCTAGCCAAAGGAGACTACCTGGTGGCCAACTTAAATATAGAGGGAAGTCTGGGCAACAGCGATCACGAAACCATCATGTTTACTGTCTGACGTAAGGCAGACAAATCTGATAGTAGGATTGAAGTCTTGGATTTCAAAAATGCAGATTTCAACAAACTTAGGTCACTAGTAAGGGAAGTGCTGCAGGACCAGGAACCAAAGGTGAAAGGTGTGCACAAAGAGTGGTTGTTCCTTAAGGACACTATCCTTGAAGCACAAAGGAAGTCCATTCCCATGCAAAGAAAAGGTAACAAGGGCTGGGAAGCCCTCTTGGCTAAACAGGGAAATCACAGTCCTCTTAAGAAAGAGGCTTATAAATAATGGAAGCTCTGGGCAGGCCCCAAGGAGGACTATTCCATGATGGCCTGTGTTTGCAGGGAACAGATAAGAAAGGCTAAAGCATCGACCGAATTTAGATTAGCAACAGGAGTCAAGGACAACAAGAAGTCTTTCTTTAGGTACATAGGGAACTAGAGGAAAACAAATGGGAGTGTGGGGCCATTGCCCAACAACTCAGGAGAGCTTGTTACTGGCACCCAGGAGAAAGCTGAACTCCTGAATGACCACTTTGCCTCCGTCTTTCGCCGGACCAAGGGGATAACAATGCCAGGTAGAGTACAGGATGCGCAAGGTATGGGTAATTGATTTCTTGTTAATACCATAGAATTGGTGTATGACCAATTAAAAAAATTAGACATATACTAGTCAGCCGGACCAGATGATCTTCATCTGAGAGAGTGCTGAAGGAGCCAGTCGAAGTAATTGCAGAACCCCTGGCAAAACTCTTCCACAACTTGTGACACTCTGGAGAAGCCCCTGAGGACTGGAAGAGGGCAAATGTTGTGCCCATCCACAAGAAGGGCAGGAGGGAGGACCTGGGTAACTATAGGCCAATCAACCTAACTTCCATCCTAAAAAAATCCTAGAAAAGTTCATCAAGGAGTCTATCTGCAGTAAGCTTGCAGAAGGTAAGATTCTGAATGACAGCCAGCATGGCTTCATCACAGGCAGGTCTTGCTTTACCAAACTCATCTCTTTCTATGACCAGGTAACTCGCCACCTGGACACGACAGACCAGGTTGACATTGTATACCTTGACTTCCAAAAGAACTTTGCTCTAGTATCCCACAACATTCTCACGAGAAAAGTGGAAGATTGTTGGCTTAACTCCGAGACAGGCAGGTGGTTGAGAAACTGGCTGCACGATAGGACCCAGAGTCGTAGTTAACGGATCTGTGTCATCCTGGTGAGAAGTGGGCAGTGGTGTCCCACAGGGGTTAGTGCTTGGTTCAGTACTTTTCAACATCTTTATTAACGCTTTGGATGTGGGAGTGAAGAGCTCATTGCCCAAGTTTGCGTACGACACCAAGTTATCGGGAAGCATGGTCATGCTTGAAGATAGGCTACAGATACAGGCTAGCAAGTTGGGCAGATCAGAATCTAATCAAGTTCAACGTCAAGAAATATAAAGTGCTCCACCTTGAGATGAGCAACCCCCACCCACCACACGTACAGGCTTGGTGGCACTAAACTGGCTAGCACCACAAATGAAAAGGACCTGGGGGTAATAAAAGACCACAGTATGAACATCAGCCAGCAGTACCATGCTGTAGCCAGTAAGGCAAATAATACTCTGGCATCCATCAACTGATGGATCTCCAGCAGAACCAAGGAGGCGATTCTTCCGTTCTGCTCAGCACTGGTGAGACTGCACCTGGAGTACTGCATCCAGTTCTGGGCATCACGCTTTAACAAGGACATGGACAGGCTTGAGGGATTCCAAAGAAGAGCAACCCGTATGATCATTCCCTTACACAGCAAGCCATACAAGAAAAGGCTGAGGGATCTGGAACTCTTCAGCCTGAAGAAAAGAAGACTGAGAGGGGACCTGGTAGCAGCTTACCGCTACACTAGGGGAGTATGTCAAGGGCTTGGTGAGCAACTGTTCACCAGGGCACCTAAGGGCAAAACTAGGAGTAATGGTCACAAACTCCTGGAAGACCAATTCAGGCTCAACAATACAAAAATCTTCTTCACCGTCAGGGTGTCCAGACTGTGGAATAAGTTCCCTCCAGAGGTGGTGCAATCACCTACCCTGGAAAAATGTCTTCCTTGGAAGGAGCTGGAGTGCTCCGGCATGTAGGCACAGAGCAGCTGTTTGCAGCCTCCTGTCTGTAGCCAGCCCATGGAGGCCAGTCTGCTTGCAGCAGGGTTTGCAGCCTTCCAGCTGCCTGCTGGGAGCAGCCTGGGCTCAGTGGCTTCCAGCTGCTTGGAGCCTGGTCTGGCAGTGGTGTGCTGGCAAAATGGTTTTGCGTGCCATGCTCAGCACGTGTGCCAGGGGTTGCTGAGCCCTGAACTAGACAGTCACCTTGCTGGGGTCACCTAACCCCCAGTTATCTTTTCTGCTGGGTGCAGAGTTGGACCCAATGATCTTCCAAGGTCCCTTCCAGCCTTACAATGTATGAATCTTCTATAGATATTCTCTCAGACTTACTTGCATGACACTGAAAGTGGACTACCAACTATTCTTCTGTGGTAAGCTTTTCAAATGACTGATGCAAACCAGAAGTCGGGTAAGTGCATGTAGAAGGTTATGTTGCTGCTTCCCATCTCATACTGCCCTTTATCTCCATAGAATTAAAGGAAGGTGAATTTTAGGATAAATTATCTACAAAGAGTTTGAAACACTCAGATCTGTTCCTCCAAGTTCTCCTAATAGACCAGTGTTTCTGCTCGCTCTCATTTCACCTCTCACCCTCCACTCTCTGGCCCTCTCTCCCATCTCTCTCTCTGATTACATTTTTGTATTTCTGTAGATTGTCTTGCAATATTATTTTTGTCAGTTTCTCTCCTCTGCCTTTGTGGAGCCTTCATTTTTTACCCTCTCACTCAGTAATGTCATCAGCACTTGTAGATGAGTTGCCAGAACAAGTAATAATTTGGGACTTGTTTTAATCTTTCCTATAAATTCTATAAATTTATTTATTTTGGTGCAGATTAACACAGAAGCCTCATCATCTCATTATGCCTATGCCACACCAATAAAATTGTGGCAATTATGGTGACATAACCCAGAAAGGAGTTAGGATGAGTATCAAAACTGCCAAACATCTTCATGGAGACACAGAGCTTGAATGGAGAAGCTTGAACTGCCTCCGTTCATGGGTCAGTAAGACTAAAAAACACATTATCTGTGGCAATACTCTAAATGCAAACATCACATACAAATCTGGGAGACTATAAAACATCAACTGGTCTGCCCACAGATAGTGGAACCACATGCCAATGAGGACCTCACTAAGGCTATAGATCAAGCAGTAGTATGTGCCCATTTTGGACTGAAATTTGAACATGACAGGACATGAAATGATCATCTAAGGGGAGGCAGTCTAGCACTCTCACTGTTCATAGCAGCAAGTTTCCCTGAACCCTGCTCAATGCATCATTAAAAAACAGCTGTTTCTCTCATGCTCCTTCTTACCCCACCTCTCTATTACAACATAGAAGCCATCAAGCTTCCTGTAAAGAGCCCTTCTCACTAACTCCTAAACCCAGCTATAAAGTCAAATGTCTGCAACCAGAAAGTTGGGTTCTTCCAAGGGTGAAAAAAGTGCATTAAAGTAACCAGTATTTAAAACAATAGTCAAATAAAACTTCAAACTTTATAGCTACAATTAGAGAGTAACAAAGTGTTAAGCTGCTGTCAAGTTTTTCTCTGTTCCAGCCTCCAATACCCAGAGGACTTAAAATCTTTCATTTGAAAAATATAAAAATTCTTGTCTGCATTGGAAAATTGACTATAGCTATAAAGCAACTGCTATTCTGCTATTTAAAAACAATTCCCTCCTGTGGATAGCCCCTCAAATTTTAGTCCTTTGAAATATGAACTACTGAAGTGTGCTCCTGAATCTCAAATAGCATGAGAACCAACAGAGAGGATATGGATTAGTAAGTGTCAACTCTGAAAACATAACTGGAACATCCACATTAATTATTCAATTTCTAACTGTTTTAATGGAATAAATGTGTTTACCTATTGCTACTGGATGCACAAGTTGACATAAAACCAGGAAAGGACTAAGAAGAGGGAAAAAAATTAACAGAAACATTTAGGAAGTGTTTTTTCTTTTTTGCAATAAGAACTGCTCTCACTCTTCCCTCCCACTTCTCACTCCTTTTCCTTGCCAACTGTGTCCCTGTTCGAGCAAGCAGCCTTCAGATTCTTCCCATGCTTACCTGGCATTTAAATCTGAATTACTGCTTCTGCTGAGAGCTCTGCTTTTCCTGCTTCAGAATACTGGAGATTGTGGGAGGGGAGAAAGAGCTCTCTTCTCTTTGGGTTTGGAGGTAGAAGAGACTGAAGCAGGCACTGGACTGCAGTTCCAGCAGCAAGAGGCAGAAGAGAGTGTGCGCTCCTTCCTTGCCCCCTCCTTCCCTCAAGACCAAATGATTCTGCAAGTCTCTTCCCCAAAGCTTGTGGGGTGTAACACGAACACCTTCTCATGACCCACCAAAGGGTCGTGCCCAAACACTCTCATAACCCACCAATGAACTACTTCTAAAAACAGCTAGACAAGAAAGGAATGTTCCCCGCACTACACTGCCCACTCCGTGTTTTTAAGCAATTAACAATGCGTCAACAAAACTGCTAAAGTTATAAGACTAAAAAAGTTTCCTACAATGTTGATAGAGAAAATAGTTACTAAACTACACAAGAAACCTTTTAAAATAGAAAGCATGTTTCTCTGCACCAAACGAAAAGGAGTGTGTTGTTGTAATAGACCATTTAGCAAGTGGGAGAGTTTACTCTGTACATTTTAACCACAGAAATAGATTATAAATCAGATGAATTTGATGTTTACCAATTAGACTACATTTTGTTACAATTTAATAGCTACACACTAGGGCTATACAAAGCTTGGGTCGCCAATTCGACTTGGCGGAGATTCGGCCCAATTCAGTGGCTGAATCTCCAAATCTGAATAGAATCAGGAGACCCTTTAATCTCTCCAAGTGGAATTGGACCACTCCAAATCCATTTGGAGAGATTTGATGATTTGGACATAAACACACCTTTAAATGTTTTTTCTATATACCTCAAGGTACCAGGCAGCTTGTGAACAGTGAGATGGTTGGGCAGATGGAGTGTCCCATGGGAGTGTGGCGGGGGGGGGGGGGGGTCGGTGTCATTACCAGCATGCTTAGCAGCAGACGCAACAGTGGACCAGAAGCACTTCCGGGTCCACTTCCAAGTCTGCTGCGGAGCACGCGTGGAACGCCCCCTTCTCTTCCCAGCTCAGCGACTGGTGCCTCCTGGGTCTGGGGGGGGCACCCAGAGCCCCCCTGCAGCCGATTGCTGAGCGGGGGAGGGCATGTGGAAGGGTCCCCTGTGCACTCGATGATGGACCTGGAAGTGGGTCCGCCGCCAAACATGCAGGGTGCCCCCCCCACGCTGCTATGGGATGCTCCATTCACCCCACCATCTCTGCATTCACAAGCCGCGCCTGATACCTCAAGGTATGTAGAAAAAACATTTAAAGCTGTGTCTGTGGCCAAATCGCTGATTATCCAAATCAGCATTGAATCTTCAGATTTGGATTTGGCCAAATCAAATCAGGACAGTGATCTGAATCAATGAATCAAATCACTGCCTGCCAATTCAGGTTGAATCTGAATTGAAAACGGCCTGTTTCGCAGTTTCGCATACCCTTACCTTACTACACATTATTTTAAAAAAAAATCATACGTGGACAATAAGTCTACATGAACTATAAATAAAACTTACAAAAAAAAAGTTTACCAAAGTTTTCCAAAGGTCGGCTATTTGTTGGGAGAACGGTTCCTGGCATTGATGTTGAAGCAAGGAGAAAAGTTTCTATTTCAGCTTCAGCTTCACAAGACATGAAGGGAATGCTGGAAAATTAAAGAACATTTAAGCAATGATTTATGAGTAGTTTTGGAAATAAGGCACTATAGTGTCATTTAATACGCTAAGTAAATAGTATCAGGTTTCACCATATAGCAAATGGAATATCTGGCCTAGCCAGGACTACCAGATAAACACACAATACAGACACTAAAAGCTGATAAATAAGCTCTTCTTCAGAAAACATATTTTTTCCAAGAATTCTTCTTTACCAGCAGACAGATTAAGATTTATCTCTCTACATATTTCTGATTAAAAACGTAACAAACCTGCAGTAGGGTTTGGGAAAGACAATCTAGAGTCCTGCTGTGGCACTCTGAAGTTACTCCATATTTTTAGCTTAGGCTGAAGCAGGGACTCACTCTGAGGCACATTTGACTAGACTGTGATTGGTTATGGGTAATTGGTGCCTCCCAAGTCTGATGGGGGCACCAGACAGCCAATGGGAAGGCAGGAGTGTCCCCTTGGCCGATCAAAGACTGGGAGGGTTCCCCCAGCAGCAGATCACCAAGCACAGAACCACCAGCGATGAAACTTCCACTGGCACTTCCAGTTTCGCAGCTGGCGCTTCCAGGGGGTGAATGGTCAATCTCAGGGGGTGCACATACACCCGCGTGCACCCCTTACACATTGCCCATGTCATTGGTCAGACAGCAAAGTACTGCCTGAGAATCTTGCTCCATTGCAACATAAAACTGACACATGAGGAATATTCACTGTTTAATGCAGTAAGGCAAAGTGGACAGAAAAGAGTGTGACAAAAACCTGAATTTTAAACCAAGCTCTTTTATTAGCTTGCTAGGTGACTTTCAGCAATTATTTCTTTCTCCATTTCTCAGCTTCCTCATCTTTAAAACTGGTCCAAGGATATTTTGATCTCTCTTGTAAAAGGAGGTAACTGTGATAATATCAGTATGCTGAAATCTACTTACAGTGATTGTAAATGCAACTTAAGGTGATTTTCACTGGTACATTTAAAAGTTGATTTTATTTAAATCTCTCATGTAAGTATATTTTAAAAAAATAAACATAAAACAATGACAAGCATTTTTATTCTAATTTAAGTTAATATAAACTTAAACAATATTAAAAAGGGAATATATTTTCTACCCACTGTAAGTCAACCCACCGACCTGGTGAAATCACTGGCTAAGCACCTATAACCACAACTCCAACAACGTTAAATCAACTTTAGACAGCAGAAGCCTTTACTGCCGGTCAGAGAATGTTTTCTTATGTCAGTTTGCTTAACTAATTAGTTTAAATAACAAGTTTATTAAAAATTGAGAAACATATTAGAGGTTAAAAATGATGGAATTTTTTCTCCAGGGTTGGCGTGCGTAACCAAAACATAAATCCTATAGAGTAACTGGTCCCAGATTTCACTCTGTAGTAAATTTACTGCATAGTGTGAAATACATGACCAAGTCTTCTCAAGCTGCTACCCACAGTCGGCAGTATTATTACAGAGCCCCACTGTTAGATGACATGAGGCTGTTTAGAGATCTTTTGTATAGAGAACCCTAGGTGGCAAATATCCACCTAGGGATGAAACTGAGCTGGGGGAGGGAGTAGACATTTTCTCCCAGGAACTGACCATCAGGCAAAGTTACTACAGGTTTTTTCCCCCTTGAGTAACCTTATCCCAGAAAAAAGATACTCCATAGTAAGGTTGTTCTTTGTATGCACACTCCACTTTTACTACTGAGTAATCATGTGTGGTGTCCAACACTCAAGTAGTAAAAACTAGATCTGAGACAGTTAAATGTACAAGTTCAAATATCTTGATGAATATTTTGATGGTTGCTAAATTATACAAGAAATAAGGTAGATATTAAATCAGCTGAGCCCATGATAGCTCCTTCCTTTATTTCTATTTTATGTGTTACAAGATTTACGTTTTCTCTAGGAATGTAAATAATGATTAAGTACCCGTTTAAACTCCCGTAATGTTACTGGTTAAAATGGTTAACCAATAACATGCATCTACAAGGGACTGGCCTAAAAGTCCAAAAAGGTTGAGAACTGCTGATCTAGAGTGATGTATCCCTTATATCAGCCTTCCTGGAATCTACCATTGGTTTACACATGCCAAAGAAAACATCTCCAATCTTTGTTTTCAACAGCTATTAATAGATTTGTCCATAAATATGTCTAGTCCCTTTTTAACCCGGCTATGCCACCTGCCTCTACCACCTCCTGTGGCAATGAATTCCACAAATTAACTATGTATTGCACAAAAACATTTAAATATGGTGAAAAATTGCAATCACTTAAATAATGCAAAGCATTTCTCAGGGCTGTTAGTCTGAATATGTACAACAGATTCAGAATTCAGTATATGGCAAGGTTAACATGCTGATACGTAAGAGAAGCAATTACAAGTCTTTACAATAATATATATAAAAAAGGTCTTAAACTCCATTAAACCAGAGTTCAACACACTGTTAAACCAGAAAATTATGAGGACATAAATTTTAGTTCTATGGTTTATAATTAACAATATTAAACCTAAAAAGCAATTTGATCCCAAATCTGATTTTAAACCCGGCAATTCCCATTTAACCACTTCAAAGCACAACCAGTTTAGATAAACTTCATTTACCTTTCAACTCTAGCTCGCACAGAAGACCATAACAATTCTATTTCTTGTCTCTTCTGCCTTATCATTGCATTAATTTCTGTAAGTTCTGTACTGAAAGATAAATTTCAAAACATATTTAAATAAGCTTATGTAATGGATGTTTTGCACTTTTAGCAATCAACATATTAAAAGGCATTTTCACCAAATTATGTTGTAACACTTTCAAATGGTATCATTTGATTTCTCTAAAATGTTCCACTAAGTAAGAATATCCCACAACTACACAAACTTATGGTAGATGAGGAGTTACTGAAGTGTCATAAAGATGGTGTTTTTGACCTTTTGTCCAGATTAAATAGATACAACTGAAGTTATGATTTGCCATATTACAGTTCAGAGGTCAAGGCAGAACTGAATTCATGAACTTCCTAGAATGAGTCGTGCATCAGCAGTTGTTCACTCCCTTTAGGGAGGCTTTCAAAATGTGCAACTTTGAGAAAAGGTCCATGAGGAAGCTAAAAACTGAAGAAACTGAACAAACCTAGCAAAATTCACACTGATATACATAGGACAAGTAAGTTTATTCCCTTATAATACAAGATATATGAGTACCATTTTAGGTTCTATATTATTGAATTAATATTCTTTAAGGCATTAATTACTTTTTTATCACTTTAGACTTCTGTATTTCATGAGGTCCCAAATGTTTCCTTCCCCTAACCCCACTCTTCCCAACTCTCAAGTCATTTGTGTTTTTATTAATGATTTATTTAAATATACTGGTTCAACTTAGCAAGGGTGGTTCAGGTAAAGACAAGTATTCCTCACTGAGCTGAGTAAAACAATCAAAGAAGATTCTCCCTCCTACATAGCAACCTAAATTCCTGCACTTCTCTTTTTCTGGCCCTTTCCTAAGTATTTAAGGCCTGAATTCATCCAGTTAAGCACTTAAGCACGTGCTTGTATTTCAAATATGTGGTTAAATCCCATAAAGCCCAGACTTGGGCAAGCAATCAGGTAGTATGCTGAACAGAGATGACTCGTGAAAAGGAAACAGTTTGTGATATTAATCGTTAACATTTTCAAGGATAACCACAGACCTTTGCTTGGCAGTAAGCAAAGAAAAAGTTGAAAGTTTTTCAATGTTTTCAGGCAATGATACGTAAATGGAGGTATAATTTAAGTAAGTATGATATCCACAATGCTAAAATGCAACTAACTGCAGGCAAAGCATTAGCATATACTAACCAGTAACTTCTATAACCAGAAAAAGATTCTCCAGTGCGAATACTGGACGGAATTTTATTGTAGAAATGATTTCTGAAATGCTCACTTGAGCAGGTCTGTCTTCTGGGCTACAAAATAAAATTAAAATTAAACAGATCCAATACTAATTCTTTAGCAATGAAAACATGTTGATTTACAGAAATACACTAGTAAAATCTCATTTAGATAACAATATTGAAGCATCTCACTGGCTATATAATTAATCCAATATTGGCTTGCAGTTAAAGCCAATTAAAATCTGTTTTTTATTCTCAAGTAATTGAATTTAGTCTTCTTTATGTACCTTCTTCACAATGCAATTTTAATTTTTCAAAATATTCTCTAGCTTTGGCATATAAAAATATTTAATAATACTCTCTTGAATGTTTTTCAATCCTTTTTTTGTAATTCCTTTAACAAGTGTGCCAAAATGTCTGTGTACCCCATACACAAGGACATGCTCATAATGGTTAAATGATGACCAGTTTTAAAAAAGGTTAAGAAAACTTATTTCGTCATTGATAACTCATAATTGATACTTCCATTGACCTATTCTGGTGAAGAAGTATTAATTCCAGCACTGGAAAAAGGAAAGGCTTGGTTACCAGCCTGCCTGAGTCACTATTTAGTAGAGAGACCCTAAGGAGACAGTTGAGCAGCACAGAAGACTTTTGGGTATATAGACCTGTGGATATATAGGGACAGACTTATGAGGCAATTCATGCAACTGGGCTCTGCTTTAAAGGACTTAGAAGCAGAGAAGGCAAGAAGCAGAAGCAATAGGCTTCTCAATTTGTGTGTTAAACCTCAGCAAAGCACACAACATCACTGGACAGAAGCATACAGCAATTCAGAGGCTGAAAAAGGACTGGATTATGAAGGTGAAAGCATAAGAGACACTTGAGAGGGAAGAAGCAGCTGTTTACAAACAGGAGAGAACAGGATAGTGGGGGTGAGTTGGACAAGATTTTAAGAGAAATCATGAGTTGAGGGTCCTGATCTGTATACTGAGACAAGATCTTCCCAGTG